GTAACAACCTGAGATTGGGAGCACTCCCTTTAAGAGTGTGCTCCTATTCTCAGCTTGCTACCTATATATAAGACACCCGGGAGCCAGAAATCTTTCTGATTGAGAGGGGGTCAAATACTTATTTCCCTCATTAAAATGCAAATCAATTTATAACATTTTTGACATGCGTTTTTCTGGATTTTCTTGTTGTTATTCTGTCTCTCACTGTTCAAATAAACCTACCATTAAAATTATAGACTGATCATTTCTTCGTCAGTGGGCAAACGTACAAAATCAGCAGGGGATCAAATACTTGTTTCCCCTCACTGTATATATGTATCTGTGTATGTATCTATGTATCTGTATATGTATCTATGTATCTGTGTATCTGTATATGTATCTGTGTATGTATCTAAGTATCTGTGTATGTATCTAAGTATCTGTGTATGTATCTGTATCTAAGTATCTGTGTATGTATCTATGTAACTGTGTATGTATCGGTGTATGCATCTATGTATCTATGTATCTGTGTATGTATCTATGTATCTGTGTATGTATCTCTGTATGTATCTCTGTATGTGTCTGTGTATGTATCTATGTATCTGTGTATGTATCTGTGTATGTATCTGTGCATCTGTGTATGTATCTGTGTATGTATCTATGTATCTGTGTATGTATCTATGTATCTGTTTATGTATCTGTGTATGTATCTATGTATCTGTGTATGTATCTGTGTATGTATCTATGTATCTGTGTATGTATCTGTGTATGTATCTATGGACGTTGCACTTTTTTTACACCGTACGTGTCCGGCTGTGCTATCTAGTTGGCTACGTAATATCTGAACCCATCCTGGGCCCCCCAATCAAACACTTGACACTGAGCAGGAAGTGAACTGCAGTCATATAACCCCCAGGGGCATGGGGAAGCCTTCATCCAGCAGTGGATTGATACAGATCTCAAAATTATTGATTTAAAATATTCCAAGCTGGGTTTAAGATGAGTTTGTCATGTATTTTGTGCTTATAATATGGTACATCAAATGAACAGTATATATTCATGCATACAATGCAGTAGTGGTGTAAACACGGTAACGGTTTCACTGCACTGTGCATCACAAAACGTTGCTCGTGGTTGTTCTTCTTTACTGAAATGAAAGCTACTCCTCCACAGAGGGTTGCTGACTCTGAGGTACCAAACGAAACTGAGATATACATACTCTTTGGTTCTTTCGGTAAAGTCACGTAGGTAGAAATAAACTGGGATATATTCTGGGAAGAAAAGAGTATATTTTCTCACAACGCATGACCTCCGGTTGTTAGGTTGTTGGTGGTTACCATGGCAATGCTTATACAAATTAGACCAATTTATAATATTTATCAATATTTAAATCTAAAATACGAAGTACCCAAAGTCTACTGAGGATATAAAATTGCATTTGCATGTCACTGCTGGCAAAAAGGGCCTCCATTCAGGAGAAGCTCCTCTGGAGGGTATTTGGCCTACTCTTCCATGGTAGCCAGATTGTTTTGGCCAACATGCCCACTACATGTGACCTGCCGTTTAACTAACTGCACCCATTCAGAAACTGCTCGGTGGAAAGATGCGAGGAGGTCAAACCAGCGACCTCCAGATGATTCTCCAAGAGCATATAAGACATGGTTTCCATGGAGACATGTTTATGTCTTACATTTGAGCTATGGTGCAGAAAGGCACACCACACATTTCGAACATGGACACACGGATCTTTCAAAATACGTTCGGCATTTACCCACACAGATTGCACCAACAAGTTGTCTGGCTAATGGAGTTGTTGACCACGTTTCAGTAAACCAAATTACCGGTTTGTAAAAAAAGTCCTGTTCTCAACTGCCACCCTACTCTGCCTTTTGATCAATATTTCCCACAACTCTCGATCCTGACTGTGACACCTTAAATAACTATACAGAAACAAGAATCAATTGAATTGTCCCAATCGATTCAAAGCTTTTGAAAACCACCGCGCTGCACATATCAAGAAAACCACCTAGCATTTCACAGACAGCGCCCGCACAACTACAACCCGCTGCGAACACACACACTCTCTCTCTCTCTCTATACGCGATTTTCACTCTCGTTCCTGTGTTTCCTGGTTGAAACCCCCAATGTGGCGCACCACGACACCTCGGTGTCATGGCTCAGCACACTGGACGTGCAACACACAGAACGGCGGCTCAGTGCCCTGGCGGGGCAGTTGAAACTGTTGAGCAGCTTTCTTCACTTGACCCATCTTTGTCCACCCAGCGGAATGAATGGCGACGCCACAGTTGGTGAACGACCTCCCACCTCGCCCAGGCTGCCCAGCGCGCGAGGGTAGATCATGTACAGTGAGGAAAAACAAGTATTTGATCCCCTGCTGATTTTGTACGTTTGCCCACTGACAAAGAAATGATCAGTCTATAATTTTAATGGCAGGTTTATTTGAACAGTGAGAGACAGAATAACAACAACAAAATCCAGAAAAACGCATGTCAAAAATGTTATAAATTGATTTGCATTTTGATGAGGGAAATAAGTATTTGACCCCCTCTCAATCAGAAAGATTTCTGGCTCCCAGGTGTCTTTTATACAGGTAACGAGCTGAGATTAGGAGCACACTCTTAAAGGGAGTGCTCCTAATCTCAGCTTGTTACCTGTAAAAAAGACACCTGTCCACAGAAGCAATCAATCAATCAGATTCTAAACTCTCCACCATGGCCAAGACCAAAGATCTCTCCAAGGATGTCAGGGACAAGATTGTAGACCTACACAAGACTGGAATAGGCTACAAGACCATTGCCAAGCAGCTTGGTGAGAAGGTGACAACAGTTGTTGCGATTATTCAAAAATGGAAGAAACACAAAATAACTGTCAATCTCCCTCGGCCTGGGGCTCCATGCAAGATCTCACCTCGTGGAGTTGCAATGATCATGAGAACGGTGAGGAATCAGCCCAGAACTACACGGGAGGATCTTGTCAATGATCTCAAGGCATCTGGGACCATAATCACCAAGAAAACAATTGGTAACACACTACGCCGTGAAGGACTGAAATCCTGCAGCGCCCGCAAGGTCTTCCTCCTCAAGAAAGCACATATACATGCCCATCTGAAGTTTGCAATGAACATCGGAATGATTCAGAGGACAACTGGGTGAAAGTGTTGTGGTCAGATGAGATCAAAATGGAGCTCTTTGGCATCAACTCAACTCGCGGTGTTTGGAGGAGGAATGCTGCCTATGACCCCAAGAACACCATCCCCACCGTCAAACATGGAGGTGGAAACATTATGCTTTGGGGGTGTTTTTCTCCTAAGGGAACAGGACAACTTCACCGCATCAAAGGGACGATAGACGGGGCCATGTACCGTCACATCTTGGGTGAGAACCTCCTTCCCTCAGCCAGGGCATTGAAAATGGGTCGTGGATGGGTATTCCAGCATGACAATGACCAAAAACACATGGCCAAAGCAACAAAGGAGTGGCTCAAGAAGAAGCACATTAATGTCCTGGAGTGGCCTAGCCAGTCTCCAGACCTTAATCCCATAGCAAATCTGTGGAGGGAGCTGAAGGTTCGAGTTGCCAAACGTCAGCCTCGAAACCTTAATGACTTGAAGAAGATCTGCAAAGAGGAGTGGGACAAAATCCCTCCTGAGATGTGTGCAAAGCTGGTGGCCAACTACAAGAAACGTCTGACCTCTGTGATTGCCAACAAGGGTTTTGCCACCAAGTACTAAGTCATGTTTTGCAGAGGGGTCAAATACTTATTTCCCTCATTAAAATGCAAACCAATTCATAACATTTTTGACATGCGTTTTATGGATTTTTTTGTTGTTGTTCTGTCTTTCACTGTTCAAATAAACCTACCATTAAAATTATAGACTGATCATTTCTTTGTCAGTGGGCAAATGTACAAAATCAGCAGGGGATCAAATACTTTTTTCCCCTCACTGTACATACACAGATACATAGATACATACACATAGATCCTTACATACATTAATAGATACATAGTTTATAAATGATACATAGATAGATACATACATAGTTCCTCGCCACTGATGTTAGTTGGATCAGTTCAAAGTGCAGTCTGATAACCAATCTTGCACCACGCCACAAACCAACACTCGTGTGACATTTTATCAAATTAAGAATTCTGAATGTAGTGTTTCTATAAATCCTTTATTAAGCAGGCCTGTGTTTGACATCAAGCTCAGAAAACATCACCGGTTATTAAAATCTACTTTGTGGTCTGTTACACCTTTGAGAGCTTGACAATGGGCAGCGGTGATGAGATTGGCACTGACGGTGGCATCAACCGACAGAGCTGCAAATGCTCCTTCTGCGTCAAATGTGACAGAACCACAACTCCTCGTTTTTCCACTTGGCCTAGTTTCCCCAGCAGTGTCCTCTTTTCCAGGTAACATCGTTTTTGGTAGATTGGCAGAAAAAAAAGACGTCACTAAAGACAATTAACGCAAGTGTAGTCCTCCTCCCCTGTTCTGGTATCCAGAGATATATTATTATTCCGTGATGTCCTGGTTTATGTGTTTGTACCTCAGAGGTGACAACCCTGGATATTGTTTAACACGCGGCAGGCTTTCGTGACCAATATAATCCATAATACAGGGGTTTTGGGGGGGTTAGATCGCGATCTAACCCAAAAACAACCCATATTGTGGATGGGTAATGCTGTGTGTGTGTGCGTTAACCATAAAATACAGCGGCCGTTAAAGATGCCATTGACTCTATATAAACAAAAATAGTCGCCGTTGGTGTCATGGTCCAAATTTGAAGACAAATAATACTTGCAAATTACTTGATTGGGCAACAGACGGCAAACGCCTTCTGCCGGGCGCAAAACACACAAACTTAACAGGGCCATGGGGAAAAACAATCTTGGAACTCGCCGAGGCTTTGCTCGGTAAACAAATTCATCGTGAAGGAGGAGAAGTGATGGGGGGGTGGCGGTGGCGGCGGCGGCAAGGCAAGGCAAGGCAGCCTGACCTGGATGACGAGCACCCAGATGCGCAGGTAGCAGAAGACCACCACGCCGATGGGCAGCAGGAAGTGGAAGAACACCACGGAGACGGTGTAGGCGGTGCTCACCGACTGCGAGAACGTGCACGAGTAGACACGCGCGTCGTACTGCAGCGAGCCCACGAACAGGTTGGGCAGGATGGCCGTGAGCGTGAGCAGCCACACCCCGGACACGTAGGCCAGCGTCTTGCGCGTGCCGTACAGGCGGTCGTAGTAGAAGCTGTGGCAGATGTAGCAGTAGCGATTGAGCGCGATGGCCATGATGTTGAAGACCGAGCCGATGACGCTGAGGCCCATGAAGAAGCCGCTAATCTGGCAGTGGAGGTCTCCCATGGTCCAGCCGTCGTGGACGATGGCTTGCACCACCAAGGGGTACGGATATACGGCCACGAGCAGGTCGGCGACTGCCAGGCTCACGACGAACACATTGCCTGCACGCGACACGACCTTCCGTTAAGTTGGTCAAGAGAAGTCACCAGTCGTGGTAAAGGTACAGTCGCGCAATCGCGTGCTCACACAGCTGGTGTTTTGGCCTACTCTTCCTCGCTGGCCAGACTTCTTTAAAAGAGGTGAGAGACCCCGCGCTTTATTCGACTGCATGCCACGTGCCCAGGGACCGCGGTGCACCCATTTACACTGCTGGGTGGATGCAGGCAGCAGATCTAAGACACTTTTACCGTTGCCTCAACTGCCGTGCCTGGAGATCGAATGGGGGACCTCTGGATTTCACGTCCACTGTGATACCTTTCATACCACGGCCATGTCATATTCTTATATAAAATACAAACACAGTTGATACCTTGGGATAATTGTGACAAAGTGACTTGCTATGTTGTGCCTAAGCGTATTCACTCCATGTGTTATCCACAGTGAAGTTTAAGACTCTCCGTGTATACACGTATGCATCAAATGCAGCAGACCATATTATTTTTAGGGGCCGTCTATAAATGACGTCACACACCTAGGGGGGGGGGGGGAGGGGGGTCAGACATTTGTGACGATGTGTGACGAGGGAGGGAGGGGGGGTTTGATAAATGTGACGTCACATCAAAATGCGCAACTTTAAATAAATATAAACAATAGAATTGTTATAACAACACAAATTTTGATTAATTTTCATTATTAACTATTTGATTATTTAAATTTACTAAGGTCACCTGTTATTTATTCCATGAAGGAGCATTTTGCTTCTCCATGGGAGAATGGAGAATCATAAATTTTGTTAATTTTGTTTAATGATTGTTATTAAACATTTTCATTTTAATGATTCGACCAGGGCTTTTCATTCTGTGGAATGAATATGTGATTGTTATAATTGTACTCTCCATTTTGCTTCGTTCTACTACAAAGTTACAAGTATTTTTGTATAGTTATAATTAATTTTAATATTTTATAATTATAAGAGAATTTCAATATAATATTATGAACATCTGCAGTTTTAGTTAGACGTTGAATATTTTCAAGTGAATTTTATGCTAAATTTGTGCTTTCCAACGCCTCCTTTTAAATAAATGTTTTCTCCTACATCAGAGTGCAGCGACACATTATATACGCACTACAATGACAATAGTTTAAAGTGATTTGAAGCATGGTTTATTTTCATAATATACACAGGTTCTCTGCTGATGTGTTTTCTGGTTGGACCACGTGTTGTTCACCAATTGAATTCTCGAAGAAGCTCCCAGCACTTTGGAGCGAAACTTCAGAACGTCGTGCCGAACAACACACGGCACAAGCTGAAAACACTTCGGAGAGATGAAAACATCCCTGGAAACCACGCAGGGTCAAATTGGAAAATGCTTTGACGCACAAGGTGTGCTGGAGCTTGAATGGCATTTTACACGTTATTATACGTACTTTAACGGTAAAATATATTGGGATGGTGCTCATCTCCTGTATACAGCCCTAAGCCAGTGGTGGAAATTCCCCATTCATATAGCGAAGGAAAGTTACCCGTAGACCAGCCGCTGTCGACTTTTCCACAAAGTGCTCACTCACTTTATCAACCCTGGAGAGATGATGGACTAAGTCAACCACAAAGCAGGATTTGAACTCTCAACCTGCCGACTGCACCACCAGAACAACGGGTGTGTTATATTTGTAATTTATTTCTCATTTAAAAAAAAAGGAACGTGCTTACTTGGTTATTGTCGTGTAGACAATTTTGAGATTTAGCTCTCAAGCACAATTGGTCTATTCTAGATTTGAAGCTTTCGTGACTGCGAGGATTCATACTCTTTGGTTTTATTCGGTAAAGTCACGTAGGTAAAACAAATTAAAATAAATTGAAATAAAATAAAAGAAGCAATTAAAAACACGACGTTTCGGAGGCAAAGCAAGCTTCCGTCTTCAGGTGGGACCAGTCACAGCAATATCGCTGCACCAAGTGGTGAGGTTCTGGGAACCTCGAGCTTAAATACAGGTTGAGGGGGGGGTGTGGGAGGGGCCATGTAGGGGACTTTAGTGGAGTGCGGAGCTGAGTTAATCCGTCTGTTGTGTAGATGGGTCACTGTGTGTGTGCAGTATAGACGGGAAAAAATGAAGAAGATCCTTGAGGATCTTCTTCATCTGGGAACAGGTCAATTGTAGGCATTGTAACAGAAAATATAAATATAAGTGGAAAATTATCATTCACTTAGTTTTTGATACTAAACCTTTGGCATTATTTAGAATTAAAAAATGTCATTGCGCAATGCCCATGAATCTCAAGTGATCTCGTTGGCTTAAAATATGACTCCAGCTACTGCAATGTACATTGTTATTTAAATTTTTTAATCGGCATGGCTTATTAAAGATCTCCACTTGCCTTTCCCACTTCGCAAATGTCCGCTAGGGTTATAATGTCTACAACACTGTTCATTACCGTGAATGTGTACAACACTGTTAATTAACGTGAATGCAACACATCAACATAAGATAACTGCAGCATACAATCATTTACGCCTGTAAACATTTGTAATTCTTCTTTGTATCTATTACATAATCTGCCTCTGTACATAGCTGGTATTGCAATAATAGTGAGTGGGTGGCTTATAGTACCATTATAATAAGGCAATATATTCGTCAGAGTTTAGACTACAAAACCTAATTGCGTATTCAGTATGGGGAAATATTTTTTACTGTCCAGTGTGATTCATACTTTAGCCACTTACATATCTTGCTTTGCAGTACATTTGGAGTATATATTAGCTACTGCTGCTCTTTGCCCCAAAGCACTCTTTGTCGCTTGGCCAGACACTTGCTTGTCCAGTGAAGTTTGTGGAAGTGAGCGAGGCAGTGGAAGGGGATGAGGCCAAGGAACAGACGATGCCGGAAGCTGCGTCAGTACTCACTTGAACCCCGCACGCAGATCAGAGCCTAATTATTATTTCAGTGCCATATCGTAAAAAACACTCATGTGCTCTCTTTTATAAAAAATTTTTTTGAGAATCTCGTTTTATTGTGCCGAGAACCACACGTGGAGGAGATACCTTGTTGTGCGTCTGTCACACGAACCGGGCAAAGCAAAAGGTGCATTGGTCTACATTTCAAAATCACCATGCAATCAATGAGCTGCCTTACGCTGCTCAATTGATTTCATCAGTCACCTTTTGCTCTATGTGGTTGGCCGAGCCTGCGCCACCAGTGAAGAGACCTGCCAGAGCTGGGGGAGGGCTCGTTGCTTGTACATAAACGGCCTCTCGGTGACGTAACAATTGCCTTCTGCTTAAATAATAACCAGCGTTTTACTTGGCGATGTCCTTCATGATGGCAGGGGACATCTTTACATTTGCAGGCATCGGTCTGTATAGATGGGTTTCCACCGATTCATGACAAGGAACTATTTTCCATTCTTTTCCATTCATTCAATATTCACAAGATTGTGTATTAAGTATGGTACTATCATCAGGTATGGGATGCTTGCTCTGGCATCCTAATACCTGGGTAATACCCGTTCTACATTATTGAGATTTTGATTGAATTTAGCAATGCATGAGTGAACAATGAACATCAGCATGTTTTGGCAATACGCATATGCGTGTTTTTTGCTCTAATCTGTTAGTTCAAACATTATGAACTCAGTTGCCACTGACTAAAAATGACATACATTTCCGGTTGTCCATTTGTTCATGTTGTGTTCCAGTAGAAATTGTTTGGCAATGATATCTCAGTGATTGCAAAGTGCAATTGCCTACATTTTTTAAGGAAAGCCTTATTATTTAAAGGGCATTTTTTGAGCATCATTGCAGTGCACTATTCCCATGTTTTGCTTAGTTAAGTCGAGCTTTGTGGTGTGGTTGGGAGATACACGCAGCTAGAGAGATATACACTTTTCAATCATTGCTCATTGTGCGGCACTAATGTTTAAAATTGGTCAATGAAAGAAGATTATCTGCAATGTTAACGCATTGCGGTAACACGAATGCATTGCGATACCACTAACGCATTGCGCACCAATACCACACAACCCTCCAAAGTTGGAGGGGAAATGCACTCCTAAAACACGTTTCAGCAAATGTCTCACCAGCCAACATCAAACGCGGATGAATCAAAGAATGATATTGATTTAGAGCATAATTGTAGCTTGTTCACTCGGACATGACATTCGGTGTTACAGACACAAAGCAAACATTCCATCCGAGAAAATCTGTTAAATATATCATAGGAGAATGCAACTGAGTAAACTCATTGATTTAATAAGTGTATTGTTCCTTGATGAACTCTAAGGTAGAGGGTCAGCCCTTCCCAAAAACAGTAGGCTTTGGAAATTATTAGATTTTTTAAATGAAAATTACCTTTCAGCTTCAAGTCATTAAAGGTATAATTAAGAGCTTTTATACGACTAAAAACATTAATAATGAGTTATGTTTGTGCTGAAACATATTCCTAAACTTAATCATGTTTATAGTCAACGTCTCATGATTTGGAATATTTATTGAATATTTTTATCTGTTATTTTACTTCAAAACTGAAGTTATGCTGCAGTTGCTTTTGAACAATGTTAAAAACAAAACTTGTATTTAACAAAATATTCTCCAAAGATCACGCAGACGATCTTTGTTTTGTTGTGCCGAGCTTAATCATACATTTGTTTATTTGCCAACTTAGCTGGAGTTCCGCAAATGCAACAATAACAACATCTGTCATTTGCCACGAAAACGACAGTGACGTTCCTACAGTGCTCGTGCCATGCTGAGTGAAATTTGAGGCCACAAAGTGTCGATGGTTTTCTCGCCAGAGTTCACGGGGCAGAATAAATGACAGTGGGAGTTGTACTGACATACACTAGTCATCAATTACATTTTCAAATGATGTAATTTGCCGCGGACTTTTTTTTATGATTATCCAATAATTTTCGCAGAATATTTTCCAAAATATTATGATTGGGCAATTATATGGATGACTACATGAATACTGATATATATGGATACTTTTTCGTGTCCTTTGGCAT